GACAGTATTAATTCTTCAGACCCATGAACGTGCGATGCCTTTTCATTTGTTTGTGTCACCTTCAAGTTTTTCCTTATAGAGATCTTTAACCTTCTTGGATAAATATATTCCTATGTATTTTATATTTTTTATAGCTATTTTAAATGGGACTGCCTTCTTGATTTAGCTCTCAGCCAGATCATTTTTGGTGTATAGAAATGCTACTGATTTCTGTACATTGATTTTGTATCCTGAAACTTTACTAAGTTCAAATCTAAGAGTTTTTTGGCAGAGTCTTTAGGGTTTTCTAGATATAAGGTTATATCATCAGTGAACAGGAATAATTTGACTTCCTCTTTTCCAATTTAGATGTTTTTTATTTTTTTCTCTTGTCTGATTGCTCTGGCAAGGACTTCCAATACTACATTGAATAAGAGTGGTGAAAGTGGAGATCCTTGTCTTGTTCCAGTTCTTAGGGGGGAATGCTTTCAACTTTTCCCCATTAAGTATCATGTTGGCTGTCAGTTTGTTGTATGTGGCCTTTATTGTTTTAAGGTATGTTCCTTCTATGCCTAGTTTGTTCAGGATTTTTATCATGAAGTGATGCTGAATTTTGCTGAACGCTTTTTCTGCATCTATTGACATGATCATATAGTTTTTATCCTTAATTCTGTTTTGTGATGTATCACATTTATTGATTTGCATATGCTGAACCATTCTTGCATCCCTGGTATAAAACCCACTTGATCATGGTGAATTATCCTTTTGATGTGCTATTGGATATGATTTTCTAGTATTTTGTTGAGGATTTTTACATCTATGTTCATTAGGGATATCGGTCTGTAGTTTTCTTTTTTTGTTGTGTCTTTGTCTAGTTTGGACATAAGGGTGATACTGGCTTTGTAGAATGAGTTAGGGAGAATTCCTTCCTCCGTGATTGTTTTGAACAGTTTTGGGAAAATTGATATTAGTTCTTCTTTGTATGTTTAGTAGAATTCAGTTGTGAATCCATCTGGCCTTGGGCTTTTTTTCATTGGGAGATTTTTCATTACTGATTTAAGGTCTTGTTACTTGTCTGATGAGGAGTTCTATTTCTTCCTAGTTCAGGACTGACAATAATTTTTTTTAAAAAGCATGATGCCCACCAAGGACTACATAGAACCTCTGGGAATGAGATCTAGACCAGTATTTTTTCAGTGCCCCTCAGATGACTCTAATGTGAAGCCTGAGTTGAGAAGCACTAATCCAAACACTCCCCTATAGGACCAACTACAAAGGACCAGAACTGAACCAAAGGTTGAAGCTATAGAAGAAGTACAGGTTGGTTCCTGAAGGCAGTTCTTCTATAAAAATTATTTCTGATGTGTAAGAAAATTAATGATTATGCCTCCTCAGAGGAGTTAATAAGCAAGTATTTGTTTACATATTGTTTTAATACATCCTACAACTAGTTCTGGGCTTCAGAGGTTGAATTCAAGCCTTGGGGCAACAAGTTTATGTATAATACAATTTAAGAGTATTTAAGATTCTTACCAAAGGATGATTTATAATCATCTATGTCTGCTATTTCTTTATCTGTTACATATATAAAATAAAAATAATTTTTCATATTCAATAAAGTATAATTTTAAACAATTACCCATAGTCAAAGATTGTATTAAAAAAACTTTTAGTTCAATCATTTTGACACATTCTGAATCAAGTATCACATGTAGTAAGAGTTTTGAAAATTGGTGTATTTTTTATTTTGAACTTATTCCAGTAAGAAACAATAGAGACATTTTCAAAGTTTATTTAGAAAGAACTTACTGAATAGACTAACAAGCCATGCACACCAGCTCCCTGCTGTTCAATTTAACTGTGGGTAGCTGAAACACCTGCTTTCTCTGTGTTACCAGATTATTTATTTGAGTTTCACTAATGAGTCCCCAGCTTGATTCCTTGTTTCTATGTTAAATCTTCTTTGAAAGGAATGTTCCCCATTCCTCTCTTCATACCCACACCCAAACAAAAGTCCAAAATGTAATATGCTGCTTACTATTTAAGGACATATAAAATTGGATTTCTTCTCTAAGAAGAAGAAATGAGATTGTTGAAAAGCCACTGATGAAAACTATTTGAAAGTTTACACCATGGATGGGAAAGAAAACATTTTGGGAGGCACTACCAAAATGTGGTGCTTTCACAAATATTTTCTAATTGAATTTTCAAGGCTCCTCTTTACGGGTGAGGAAAGTGAGGCTCAGAGAGATCAAGTGTACCCATATTTACATAGTGAGTGACACAGGGATCTGATTCTATTTTCCTCCATGTAAGCACAACCCATTATAGCATTACAGTTAACTTCCAGGTATTGCATTGCTCCCAGAACATTAACGCACTAGACAGACCAAAAATTTAATATATGAATAATGTATACATAAAGAAAGACATTAGACTTGTCTGGAACATAATGATGTTTATCAGGAATTAGAACCCTTTTTACAATCTTTGCTTGGATATTCATATTGCTTAAATAATAAAGTATGTAATACTGTAATTTGATTTCATCCATATAATAGAATATTTTTCAGCTAAAGGATATTAGGTTACTTTAGGAAATACTTCTGATAAACTTTAAATGGGGACAAGAGCATGACTCTAATGCTGTGTATTTCTAAGGTTGTATGTGAAAAGACTGAAAGGGAATGTGCAAAATACTAATAATGATTATCTTTGGGTTGAAGGATTGACAATTATTTTCCTTATAATTTTGAAATTTTCTATCATGTACTTCATATAATAAAATGTTATTAAAAATTTATTTCTACTCAACAATAAGAAAACAAACAACCTGATTAAAAAATGAGCCAAAGACTAACAGACATGTCACCAAAGAAAATATATAGACAAATAAGCATGTAAAAGATGTTCCACATCGTATATAATTAAGGAAATACAAATTAAAGCAACGAGATACCACCACACAACTATTAAATGGCCAAAATCAAAAACACTGACAAAACAAAATGCTGGCAATAATGTGGAACAACAGGAAATCCCATTCGTTGCTAGTGGAGATATAAAATGGTACAGCCACTTTGGAAGACAATTTGCGATTTCTAACAAAACTAAATATACTCTTACCATACAATCCAGCAATCATGCTCCTTGGTATTTACCCAAATGAGCTGGAAAATTATGTCCACACAGAAACTTGCACGTGAATATTAATAACAACTTTATTCATAATTGTCAAAATTTAGAAGCAACCAAGATATCTTTCAGTAGGTGAATGGATAAATAAACTGTGATACATCCAGACAATGGAATATTATTTAGCTCTAAACAGAAATGAACTATCAAGCCATGAAAAGACACAGAGGAAACTTGAATGCATATTATGAAGTGAAAAATGCCAATCTGAATAGGTTCCATACTGTATGATTCTAACTGATATGACATTGTGGAAAAGGCAAAACTATGGAGACAGTCAAAAGATCAGTGGTTGCCAGGGGCTGGGGAAGGAGCAATGAATCGGCAGAGCACAGAGGGTTCTTAGGGCAGTGAAAACAGTCTTATGATTCTATAATGATGGATGCATGTCATTATACATTTATCCAAACCCACAGAATGTACAATTCCAAGAGTGAACCCTCATGTAAACTATGGACTTTGGGTGATAATGATATGTCAGCGTAGGTCCATCAATTGTAACAGATGTACCACTATTGTGGGTCATGTTAATAGCTTTTAACTTCCTAAACATATAAATCAAGTGCTGAAAAATTTTAAAGAACTCAAAAAATGATCAGTCATTACCAGTCAACAGTCTTCTATAGCTGCACATTTTGTCCAGCAAATATTCAAACCAAACACTTTGAATACCTGCAATATACTGCAGTGTTCAAACAGAAGCAAGAAATTAAACTAAAACAAAACAAAGTGTTATGATCCCTATGAGGAGATTTAAGTCTAAATAAATGCAATCTACTTCCTTCATCCCTATCCTCTAACTGCTGTCCTCTCAGACATGTACATACTGTCTTCCCTATTTTCAATCATTGTCTAGTAGCTTTGGCCCATTGTTTTCCAGAGCTTTATGACTTAGCTCTACCTACAAATATCAACCACCCAAGATATTAATAATGTAAATTTCTCTAAATCTTGATAGTAATTATTCACTATTCCCACTCAATCTGCTATGATAGACATTTGTTTTCTTGCAGATCAATATGGAGCACCTGAAAAACTTTTGCAAAGTATTTATAGACCCCCCCCATGTGTAAGTGCATAGATTTCCAAATAACAAGACACAACAGGGAGAGGAGCAATTGCCACATGGCTGCTTTGCTCATTTTGCTTTCAGTACTTCATGGTTCCGTTTTTACATATTCCACATACCTACAAGTGGTTGCCTGGCTGATAGCTGTTACTTATTACCAAACTGAGATATTTGAAGCAAGTTAAGGAACTAGGGAAATGTAAATGGGAACAGCAATCAAACTATACCTGGAAATCATAAAAGTGATAGTGTAGCAAGCCCTCAGTGTAGAAATAAAATTTTTTAGAAAGCTAACAAAGTGTAATGTTTAAGAGCTTGAGCCCTGGGATTAAACAAAATCTAGAATCGAATTTCAACTCTGCCACTAACAAGACCTATTATATTGGTCAAGTTACTTTGAATCTCTAAGCCTCTGTGATTTGATCCATAAAATGGGGAAAATAATACCTACTCCTTAAGGGTTTGTGATAATTTAGATAATGCCTCTCACATACCTTAGTACAGTGCCTGGTACATAGTAACTACTCAAAAAATATATAGTTATTGTTGTAGAAGCCATTGTTTTGTTTATTATTATTCTAGAAGCTCAATGAATGCATGGTGGTATTTGCTAATGTGATCGAGATCTTTACTATGTAAATAGTAGATTATTCAAAAACAGTTTTTTAGTTCTCCTCTAAATTACCCACAGAAGCATATTCAAGAGAAGTTCATGCATTTTTCAATTATATTTTAATGTGTCTAATGTGTCTCTTACCTTTGCTTTTATAATCAGTTCCTCATGCTTGCGAATTAGCTCCTCATTGTCTGAAAGAGATGAACCTAGACTTTGTTCCTGTAAATCTCTGATGGTTTTCTGGAACCAACAAGTAACCTAGGTAAGAAGTAATAAAGAAAGATCAAAATTCAAATAATCAGAAGTGAGTAAAAATTCAGAAATAATTTCTCAACCTTTCAAAACTTAAAATGAATTTCTCTTTGTATAAACTAATCTCATGGATTATATTAAAATGATCAAGTTTATTTTTCTTCATTTCAACCTTTACATGCCTTAGAGAAAAAAACCAAATAATTCCAGAAAATCATGAAAATGACTTGTCAGTTCAGTAGAGTACATTGCACGAAGAATTCAAAATCTCCTAGCAAAGAACCAAAATAGATTCCCATACAGTCCATAAATCATACATTCTTTTAAAATATGAATTCTTTCCTGAATATGAATATGAATCTGAGTATAGTTACATAAACACATATGAAGATATTAAATAGCATATGTAGAATTATATTTTCTGCTACAAAAAAGACAATGCAAAAATATTTAGCTTGCTGCAACTGTGGGAAATCTATATCCAGAAAATAAATGGAGGGGTTATTAAAATTCCATTGACATTACAAATGGCTAAGGGTGTGGCTGATATTCATGTAGATTTGGTTTACAATACACGCCACATACAGTGCTAAAACAACAAATAGCAAAGAACTTGAAAGAAGCCCGTACATTTTAAAATGATGCCATAACTTGACATGGGCCCCCGGATGCAGATTCCTTATCCCAATTAAAAGAGACTTGGATTTTTACTCTCGGATCCTGTACAGAGTTATCCATATGATCTCATAATAGCCACTGATTCTCTTTTTTTTTTTCTTTTTTTTTTTTTTTTTTTGAGACAGAGTCTCACTCTCTTGCCTGGGGCGAGTGCCGTGGAGTCAGCCTAGCTCACAGCAACCTCAAACTCCTGGGCTCAAGCAATCCTACTGTCTCAGCCTCCCAAGTAGCTGGGACCACAGGCACGCGCCACCATGCCCGGCTAAGTTTTTCTACATATATTTTTAGCTGTCCAATTAATTTCTTTCCATTTTTTTGGTAGAGACGGGGGTCTCGCTCTTGCTCAGGCTGGTCTCGAACTCCTGAGCTCAGAACGATCCGCCCGCCTCGGCCTCCCAGAGTGCTAGGATTACAGGCGTGAGCCACCGCGCCCGGCCCCACTGATTCTTAAGAGACTGCTACAAGCTAGACAGTTTGCTAGTTGACTTGGAGGCCACATCTCTATGTTACAATTTTATAGTAGGTATGTATGATATCATCATTGCCGAGATGAGGTAACTGAGTTTTTGAGAGGTTAAGCAGCTGATCCAGGGCTGTGTAGTGAGTCGCAGAGACAGGATTTGTCCACAAGTCTACAAGATCTCAAAGTCCATGCTCTTTCCCCTATTCCCTGCTACCCCTCTTGAATAACCTAAAGTCTCACAGTCATCAGGGGAATGACTTCAAGCCTGAAAAAAGAATACTGGCAGCCCATTCACAATAATGGGCCATATCCCAAGCCTGATACTATGTTTTTCTCTAGCCAGGTTGTCTTGCCTGCAACAGCCTCAAGATGGCCAAGGAGAAAGCTAGGTTAGATTTGAAATTTCCCACAATAAATGCACATACGCCACATACATATGTCAGAGTGAGAGGATCAGCTAGAATCAGACACCCCAGGACCATTATAGACCTGCTATCACAAAGCTGACTATGAGATCAAAAGGTCTGCACCAACTTTTAGCATTTTCTAGCATAGAATAGGCAGTAATATAGGGGGTGGAACAATTTCCCCAGCTCTCTGCTAATTGGAAATCTATGTTAACCAGCATCTTAGCCCATTGTAGGTGCAAAGAAAAGAATATTGGTGACTCCATAGCAGTTTTCATGTGAAGTACACCTCATTTTTTCAGAATATTTGGTGATCTATGCATAATATACACATTATCTAGCCAGTCCCCATATTTAAAGCATTATGCCGATGTATTTACAATTACTTGAAGACAGTCTGTTTTTCTGGTATCCCAATTAGAGCTGGAGGATATGCACAATGTGCACATTAGAACACACAGAGAGTATTTTATCAAGAGCTATAAAATTTATTCATTAATTTATTTTATTTTATAAAACAAAATAATTTTTCACAAAAATGCAGTCAGCCCTATAAAAACTCAGCTAGAGGAATGATGTGAGGGTTTCCTCAAAGTAAAGTGGATCATGAATATAACTAACTTTCAGAGATACTTATTTATTAAGTAGTGGGAGTGAGTTTTACTTATTCTTAGCTAAAGTGGGAGGGACCTAGAAATTTCAAGAATGCTTTAATGGAGACAGTTAATATAGAATCTAAGTGGATGAAAAATGGGTACAAACAGGTGTTCACTAATCTCTAAAAACAGGTGAGAAGCTTGAACCCCTCAGATAATCCTATTAAACTTCACGAGTCAAGATTTGTCCTCTAACACATGCCAGCAGTGATGAAAATCAGGAAAGAGTGAGTTGTTTTGATTTTTAAACAGTATCTACTGACCTCATCCCTAGATTTGGCAAGTACTATCTCAACTCCCAAAGGATACTATTCCTGTAAGGCAGTACTATTCCCTTTAAGAGAATGTAGTTAGAGAACAATAGTAATGTTCAATATATGCTGCTCACATACCTGCCTGCTAAAGCATGCTGTCTTTCTACAGCTACACATTCTTACTACCAGATGCACCCTGAAAAGAAACATAAAAACAAGTTGGCACAAAACTCAGAAGTAAGTAGATCATCATGAGTGTCTTATATCTCATTATGAGGTATTCACACACATGAGCAGCCTCTTAGACCACATTTGCCATGTGTGCTGTGGGGTGTACACAAAATAGGCTCTGAGTCCTTCTGATGCTAAAATAAGACACCCTAAATAACCAAGAGCATGTCAACCATAATGTTCTGCCACCCAGTAAATCAGTCATTGTGTCCTTCGAGTAGCCACCGCAGACAGCTGCACAGATATTCCAAGTGCACTTTTTATAAGCTTTTAAATTATATCAGCTGCTGTCCAAAAGCCTGAGTGATAAGTACAGTGAATGATGCATCAAGACATTTCTGTAGAATGTGGTCCCTACAAAAGTATGAAGACATGAGCCATGGATTGAGGGGATGAGGAAAGAAGGAAGAACAAAAAGCATTCCAGGTATGCACTGGAAATTGGTTCTGGGCAACAAGATGGATTAAAGGGGAAAATTAGAAGACTTTTGATCTCTCTTTCCAGTTTCTACCTTTCAGCCTGACTGAAGCAATGTGTTCATGGTCATACCATGGATTTGGCATGACACGCTAGGTACTCAGTGCCCAGAGGAGGTAGAACTAATGAACAGAAGGAGTGAAATAGATTTTTTTGCTGGGGGGGTGGGGGGGGTGGCTGAAAGTAGCACCTTTCATAGACTGACAAATTAGAGAGAAAGGAAAGTCAGCAAAGAAGGAGTAATCAGGGATGTTCAGTGAACACCAAGAGCTGTCTTGAAATTAAAAAGGAATGACAGGAGAACTTACACCAAAAATGGTGCAGACCTGCTCTGTTCAATATGGTAGCCACTCACCACACATGCCTGTCTAGTACTAGGAATGTGACTAGGGTCACAAACTGAGACATGCTCTATGTGTAAAATACACAGCAGATTTCACTGACTTAGCATAAAAATAATGAAAATATCTCATTAAGAATGTTAGTATTGATTACCTATTAAAATAATATTTAAGATGTGTTGGGTTAAATAAAAAATATTGTTGCTTTTCACTTTTATGTGGCTTTTTACTTTTTAAATATTTCTTTTTTACTTTTTTAATGTGGCTACTAGAAAATTCAAAATCACATATGTGAGTTGCGTTATGTTATTACTGGGTGGTTCTGCAATTCAAGGGTATTCAGAGTATCTTTATTTGTTAAATGTAGATTTCAGGGTTGAGTTTTAACTAAGGGCATTTTAAAATAGTGGAGTCAGGAGACCAGTGGAATGAGATGTACCAGTTAGGAAGTATTTATGGGCCACTGAATAGGGGCGTGAGGAAATGGAACTAATGACACTTTGAAGAATTGCATTGGCTTAATTTATTGGCCAAGTAAATGACGATGGCTTTGGGGAAAACAGAGGTAACAAAGGGGCTTCTCCCCACCTTTTTTTCCTTTTTAATCAGATGAGACTTACACATTCCTTGGCAGACATAGGGAACTGAAGATGCAGGGAGGAGAGCTGGTACAGGAATGTACCAGAAAATGGGAAGGTTGGAAGACAGAACTATTGAAGATATTTAGTCTCAGACAAGGAAAAACTAGTTTTTGCTTGTTGGATATCCCATCCCCACCTTGAACCCCTACTGGTAGGTAAGCAGGAAGGTAATAAGAGAAGTGAACCAGCCTTCACAGAGAGGTATCAGGAACGACTCTAGGTGGGTTACGACGTTACCTCAACTGATCTTTACACACTTCCGACGATGGAGATATTTGTTTTTTCAACAGAGGAGGAAACTGAGACCCAGACAGGCAAGGTAACTTGCCTAAGTTCACACAACCAATGAGTGCAGGGCCAGAAATGCCGCCATCAAAATTTATGCTTTTCTATCCAGTATTTTTATTTCTCCATCATAGCCATCTGCAGAAACAAAGGATTCTGGAGAAGAGAAGTGGCTCTTATTAGGCTATGATTATGAAAGTTCTTTAAACTTAAGCTCATTATCCAAAGTGAGGTATCACAAGATCGGAAGAACGGGCTCCACTTGTACTCGCCATCAAATTGGTACTAACTGATGAACACTAGGGTGCTCACATGGCAGTAATACACTCCAGGGATTAGGGGGATGGGGGGGTAAACCCACAACTAAAGGACACGGGGAGCATTGTAGAGGGGAAGGGCATGCCTCTAACCCTCGTTTGGGTGAGGCAAAGACATAAAATGTAACCATAATGTTTGTACCCTCATAATACCCTGAAATTAGAAAAAAAAAATGAAGATCAAAACGTAGGGCTGTGGTTATAGAACCTAATCCTAACATGGAAATAGGTCCTGTGTACAATCACACAGTGGATG